CTTGTTTTTCCATGAATCTACTAAGGCGAGCATCCCTCGTAGAAGAAGAACATCCTTTAGATGTATTGGTAGAACTTCTAGACTCCTCGGTTGACACTTTACTACTTCCATCAATACTTTCATGACGCACATACCACTCATAAATATCCATCAAATTGGCTTTCAAATATTTCATCATGTTACTAACAACTTCCCCATCCATGTATAGATCACTAAAACAATATTCAACATAATCCATTTTGTACCTTGGATCAAGGATAGTAGCAATAAGCAACAACTGTTTCACATTTTCCATTTTACCCCAATACTTGTCGAACTTCTTCTTCATGTTAGCCGCCATTTCAGCCAACAAAAAATCGCCACTTAATATCCATTCATCCATTTCGATTATAAGATTACAATTTTCATGAAGATAAGTAAATGCAGTAACGTGCAATGAAGCAATAAAAGTCAAAGTCACATTACAGAAATTCTTAAGAAACTTGACAAATACAGATCCATTTTTCCAATCTGAACGTGAAGTGGGTCCACCCCTCCTACTTCCGTCGGCTTCCCAAAAGTAATGCAAATATTGAGCATCCTCTTCTTCTAACCTATCAAACGCTTTCTCAAACTTCAATGCTGTTTCTAACATCAAATAGGTAGAATTTCACCTAGTTGGAACATCCAAAAACACAACAGATTTGCAATCAATTTTCTCTTTCCTCGCACAATCCTTCAATTTTTCATATCTAGCAAGCGAAGATTTCACATATTTAATTGCATTGCGGATATTCACAATGGAGTCATGTGCTTCCCTCAACCCGTCATAAACAATCAAATTGATAATGTGTGCACAATACCTCAAGTGCAAATATCTTCCATTTAGAACACATCCATCACTACCCCAAACAACTAACTTCCTCCTAAGATAAGAAATAGCCACGTCATTGGAGCTTGCATTATCAACGGTAATTGCAAAAAATTTATCAATCCTCCAATCATGCAAACAAGTCCCAATCATTTTCCCAATCGTTTCTCTCTTATGATTTGGAACAACACAAAGATTCAAAATACACTTGTTAAGCGTCCAATCAGAATCAATAAAGTGTGCTATAAGAGACATGTAATTCACGTTTTCAATGCATGTCCAAGTATCAGTTGTGAGGAAAATCCTTTGACGGTGGAAAGAGAACACCTCTCTTCCCAAACCCAACCCAACACGATCGGTTTTATGGAAATTCAACCCAACCCAACCCACGTAAAGATTGAAACCCAACCCAACCAAATGTCGGTCGGGGTTGGATAGGTTGGGTTGGAACAACCTCTCAACAAATATTAAAGTCCTAAAATACTGATTTTTTTTGTTACTGAATATCGAGCAACATTAATAGTCTTCCAATATCAATAAATTTCAAAATATAAAACAGTAAAGTCCTCCAAATATCCATCAAAATAACTATCCAATAACAATTTACGTAATGTATTACAAATTTACAATACTTAGGTAAAAAAATTACTGGGACTTGGCACGAGCAAAAATAGGTGACTTCAACCCCTGCAAAACTATTGGGAGTCTGGGACTTGGCACAAGCAAAAAAATCTGCCACTTCAGCCCCTGCAAAAATCTGTGACTTCAATTGAATCTGGCTGCAAAAATATGTGACTTTAGCTGATTCTGGCACACTGGTTACTCCTACATTGCTGGAAAGATTAAGCAGTTGAAAGAGCAAATTGCAACACTTGAAACGATTATTAATTAATAAATGAGAGAACACTTCCAGAAGTACAGAAGCCATTGTTAAGCCATATGTGTATATATGCCAACATAATTATAAGTAAAATGTAGTGAGAATTGTCACGAAAAACACAAAGAAACTGAATGTATTAAAATCATATGATTCCCCCACTGCAAGTACAGGAGGAGAGACAACATTCTATAGTTTAGTGCGCGTATACCTAGAAACATGTAAAGAACTAAGGAAGCACTTGAATATCTTCATTCGTTTTTGAATTCATTGATTCAAGTTCTACAAAAAAAAAAATGCTTAATGAAACAACAGAATATATATAAATAAAGTAAGTAACAAAATTTAAGAATATATATATATTACCTTCTTCATCTAACTGATTGTAATGCTCAATATCTTCCAAGTAAAAACCATCCAAGTTTGGAGAAGCTTTCAACCAATTTTGGGTGCATACCAAGGCCTCCACCATTTTAGGACTTAATGAACTATGAAAAGGATCAAGTATCCTTCCTCCAATAATAAAAGAACTTTCAGAAGCAACGGTTGAAACTTGAATTGCCAAAACATCCTTAACCAAATTAGACAAGACACCATACTTACTTTTGTTAACCTTTCACCAATTGAGAACATCAAAATTCTTGTTCTCTACGCTTTCACGAGCATCAAGTAAGTAT